AAATTTTAACCGATTTTTTTATTTATTTATTTTTTTACTTTTTTTTTAAGGTCAAATTTGGATTGTTAGTGTAGAAATAGAGTTTACAGTATTTTGCTTTAATTCAAATTTCAAAGTTCAAATTCATAATGTTCGTTTAGAATCTTAGAAGGGTTTTTAATATTCAAATTTTAGAAGCTTTTTGAAGTAAAAAATTGGAATACTATACTTTAGAATTGTAAACGGTTATTTTTTTCGAGTTTAGAGTGTTAATTTAGAATCTAAACAAAGTTTTTAAATTAGATAATTTAAGTTCAAGTAAAAAATGCTTTTATTTGGAATGTAGTAATTTAGAATTTCTAAAGGTAAAATTCAAAAATTCAAAAAAATCTAAATTTGAAACTAAAATATAAGTTTTTTAAAGTTAAAGATTTGAATGTTTAGAATTTTTGCCTTTTTTTAGTTCAAGTTTAGAAAATTCAAAGGTCAAATTTAGAATTTTAGTTTAGTTTTGTTCTCTTTTTAAGTTCAGATTTTAGAAACTTTTGAAAGTTAAAAGAGAATTTTAGACCATTTTTGAAGTTTAAATTTTAATTTGTAATTTTAGTTTAGTATTTTGTAAGTTTTTTGGAATTTCAACTTGTGAATGTTTGGAATTTTAGACTTTTTTGGAATTAAAATTTAGAAATTTAAAGCTCAAATTTTTTAATAAAAAAAACTTTAATTTTCAAATTTCAAAGTTCAAATTTATACTGTTCGTATAGAATCTTAGAAGGGTTTTTAAGTTCACATTTCAGAAGCTTTGTGATGTAAAAGAATATTATACTTTAGATTCTTCTTTAAAGTTTTTTATTTCAAATTTGGAATGTTACATTTATATTTAAAAGATGCTTTTGTCCAAATCGACTTACAATTGACGATGTTACAATAATAGTTTAAAGTTAAAACAAAGTTTTTAGATGAAAGTTAATTTAAGTTAAAGTAATTAGCGTTGTTTTTTTTTTTTTTTAAGTTTAAAGTCCGCATGAACCGGAAGCTGCGACCAATTATTATTATTATTATTTTTCATTGTGACCAGTTTCTAGAATAACAGAATATTAAATGAGGAAACAGTGGGCGTGGCTTGTTTTGTTTCTGCTGCGAGCTGATTGGATGTAGTAAAGTAGTCGTCTCATTCAGAAAAGATGGGAAAAAGGGTTTGGGGAGAGTTATTACAGACTCCTCCTCCTGCTCACCATTTCTGCTTGTTGCCAAAACTGACAGCTGGAGGGGAGTGGTTAAGTGTTTAGCCCCGCCCAATACCACAGACAGAGCTAAACTGAGAATTTAGCTCAAAACAAACAGGAAGTGCATTTTCAGATTTCACCTGAAGATTTCAAGACCAGCTATTGTTTTTCTGAATGACATGCACAGATGAAGCAATGAGAGCTAACAAAATCAATGGGACTAGTTTGGACTTCATGTGGACTTTAAATTTAGAATATTGTAGTTCAGAATTGTAGATCATTTGTAAAGTTCAAATTCAAAAATTCTATAAATAAATTCTTAATTTGAAGTTAAAATTTTTAACAATACACATAAACATACAATACAATTTCCAAACATACAATTTCAAATGTCTTTAGTTTAAATTTAAAAATTCAATTATGAAAGTTCACACTTAGAATGTTGGTTTAGAGTGTTAGACGAGTTTTTAACTTCACATGTAGAATATTGTTCTTCAGAAATGGAGATTTTGTTTATTTTTTTAGAATTTGAGGGTTTTTTTGACGTTCAAATAAGTAAAGTTAAGAAGATGACTGACTGACCGACTGACGGAGCGCTGCTGTATGTGCGTGTGTGTCTGCTCTCCGCATCTAACATCATCATCTAACACTGCTTCAGCCTTCATCATCATCATTATTCCTGCGGTGACCTCTGACCTCTGCTGTCCTGTGTGACCTTCACCTCTGCTTGTTACATGTGGAGCATGATGGGAAACGTCTCTCGGCTCCTGTGGTTAACTGAGGCTGTAGATTCTG